TGGGTGCGAACCCACGAGCTGGGTTTGCGAGGAACCCAAGCTGCTGGGTGCGAACCCGCGAGCTGGGTTCCTCACGAACCCAGACTTCTGGGTGTGCCTGAGGTAAAAGGAGAAAAAGAAAAAAGAAAAAGAAAAGGCCGGAGGAAGGAGAGGATGGGGAGGAAAGAAGAGGGTAAATTAGTAATTAAGGGAAAAATTTTTAAAATGTCATCAATTTTTGAGGGGCAAATCAGTAATTAAAAGTAAAAAATTTAACCATGTCATCAATTTTTGCCATGTGGATTTTCTACGTAATTTAATAAAAAAACAAAATGAGTTTTTCTGTTAATTAACCTGCCACATCAACCAAAATTTAACGGAAGGACTAAAAAGGGGCCGGATTTGTGAACAGTAAGGACCAAAAAGGGGATTTTTTCAGTACAGGGACCAAAAAAAGGGCTTTTTCCTATAGTAGAGAGACCAAAAAGGGTATTTAACCTTAAAGATATACAAACCTGATTTACGATCTGATGTTCTGATACCAAGATGATAAGAACCCCAAAGAGAACAATGAGACCCACAGCATGACAAGGGATTTCTAAACTCAAGAAAAGCCAAATCAGATTTATAATAGGACCTTAACCCGTTGTTTATGTCGCAACAAGAACCAAAAGTAAAAACCTTGACCCATTGTCTATGACACAACAAGAACCAGAGGTATAAAAGTTGGTTTGGTTGACGCCACACCCTTCAACGATTAAGAAAGAGAATGATAAGTCAAGTTAGAACGCCACAAAAATAATCTTGATAAGTTCTGTAAAGTTCTGAAATGAACCAAAGAGTTGCCTCTCAAAAACTTAGATTCAATAGCTCCCCCAATTAGGGTTACAAGCCCTTTAAATAGGGAAAAATAATTCTAATCAGAATAGGAAACTAATACCCTAAACTCTAATCCTAATAACCTCGAATTGGGCCTCAAATAAATGAATGTTCAGCCCAAATAATATAAAAAACTTGAAAATCACTGAAAGTAACCTAAAGTAACATGAACTATCAGTTTGTTACAAATTGCCACAGAATTGTGGGATTTTGATGCAAACTGTGTAATTTAGCATAAATGACCTCAATTAAGCTTCTCTTGAACCTGAATGATGTTTACTAATCATCCAAGCTTTGATTTATTTGTTGCATGTTGTTATCAACCCAGATCTGCTCAATAAGGCCATTTAAAGCTTCTTGTATCTTCCTAGCTCTAGCTCTTTTGACTGGACCTCCTGGAATGTGTGTAATGTGATGGGAATCAAGACGACA